CCACATCATAGGATTATTGTTAATCAAATTAAAAAGAGGATGTGATTGTATATTGTCAGTTGTAATTGGTTCTAAAAAGTGAATTATTATTTAATACAAGTGTGCCTATCTTTTCATGGTCCACCATTTAGTAACAAAAAAATAAGGCAATAAGAAGAAAAAATAAATTAAGCTTTCACAGGAATGCACTTTAAGCATTAAGAAGGATTCTTTTTTTCTTTAGTCAATATGGTACTAACTACTTTCCAGAAAGATTATTAGTAGTGTAAGAAATCAGTGCAATTGAATTAAAAATTTTACCAGGAAATTTATTAATTTCCACAATAGGGCATTTCACCACAGCTATCTGCATGACTTTGGGCTATTTATCATTAGCGTTGGTTTTGCTCAGAATACAGATATGAAGGAGAAACAGATAAACTGACTCACAGGGTCTGTCACTTTCATTCCATTTCACTTTGATTCTTCTTTCTTACTGCTTGCTTTTTACATCTGCTCCAGTTTAGTACCTTTTCCACCACTAGTGGAATTGGTGCATTTCCAGCTCAAATCTCAAATCTCCTTTAGAAATGTTCCTTGCTGAATAAATTCTCGTTGGTTGATTTATTAACTTACATCGCTTTCACTATCCTAGTCTGTCTCAAAATCCTATACATTATACTTATGCAGTTACCCCACTGGAAACCTGGAAACACCCTAGAACCCAACCTAAGGTCATTATATAGAGTAGGTAGAACCACTATAGAGGAATAAAAAACTCAGGGGGCTCTTCACATTTCTACGTCTTAGACCCACAAATGTGAAAGGGACTTTGGGAATCATCAAGTGAACGGTCTTCCTTTTTTTATTGTTGTAAAAATATAGATAACAAAACATTTGTCAGTTCAATGTTTTTCACATCCACAATTCAGTAAGATCGATTACATCAATCATGTTGTGCAACCATTCACCAACATCCTTTGAGAGAGTAAGAGAATTGCTCAAGGTCACTCAGCTTATTAGTGGCAGAGCTGGAATTAAAACTTCAGTTTCTTGACTCCTAATTTAGAGCTCCTTCCACTGAATAATTCTGTCTCCTTTTCTGGTGCTAAAGATTTAAATACTCAGAATTGTTCAATACCTTTAAATGGTTTGGTGTAAATTCCAAGGACCCTTAGGCTTCACTCCTTCTGGGGTCACCCTGACACACAACCCTAAGCCAGCCATTTTCACACTAACCAGGGACCAAGGAAGGTGTCTGTGTTATTGACCGTGTGTATATTGGTTACTACAAGTATCTGCAATTTTAAGGACTGTCCCTGGATCGCATTTCCCTGCAAGCTGCACTGCAGTGACCCAGACACAACACTGACAGCTGTGGAGTAAATAAATAAAAACAGAGTATTTTGATTCTAATTGGGTGGGGGGAGGTTGGTGATGAGAAGAGAGACAGACAGAAGGAAACAACCACAGCTGTGAAAGAACAGATGCGAGCCAGCAGTGAGGGAGACAGAGGGTGAGAAGGGGAGGAGAGAAAAGATTAGGGTTCCGCCAATGTCAGAAATGTTGGAAGCTCTTGGAAAGGGATACACATACTTGGGACAGGTGGGAAGTGTTTACATTAAAACCAGAATATCAAATGCCTTCCTAAATGCTGGCCACATCACTAGAGACCCAACTTGACCCTAAGGAAAAAGCTATGTCCTTGCCCAGAATGCCCGTTACAGAGATAGCCTCCAGAATTCTTTATATTCCATTAAAATTACTAGATATCAGCTGTATGAATCAACACATTATGCTGTACGCCAATGTCTTTCAAAATGTGTCCCTGGATGAGCAGCATCCTCAACACCAAGGAATTGAAAGAAATGCAAGTTTCCTGTCCCCATCGAGACCTAGGTATGACATGACACCAAGATATCAATCATCAATGATATCTGTGTTTTAACAACCCTTCTAGGCGGTTCTGATGCATATTCAAGATTAAGAAACACTGACCTATGTGCATGATACCACTTAGCTTCCTCGGGATTCTCCATAAACCTGTCACCCCAGTCAACAGGCCTCCACTCGACTTCACATTGGTCCATCTGGGTTCTGCAGGGATCCATGACCTGATATTATCCAAGCACAAGTCTCCCCATAGGAGCAACAGATGCAAGAGACTGTAAAGCTTGTGCCTCCAAGACGTGGGGAAACAGAGCAGCTAAACTCACAAGACAAAAGCCTGAAATCTACGCAATGAGACTCCATTTGGGAAATGGGGTCTAACACACACCCCAAACTAGAGACTGACCCAGTGAAAGGGTAGCAAGCTTCCTCTCAAGGCCCTTTAAAAAAGCCTCCCACTGTGCCTTTCATTTAAGGGATGCAAGATACTTCCCAAACCACTAAGTTTCTGGGCTTGAGCATGTCAGTGTCTAGAGTCTCAATGCATGGAACCACCTAAGCATAATTCATGATTATGTCAAAAGAGCACTCAGACAATCATTTCAGTTTAAGGAATTTCGTCTTGGACTTCCAGAAAGGTCCTGTTCTCTCCGACATTGAGAATCACAGCAGCCACAGTTTGTAGATGCCGAAATTAAAATAATAGGAAAATGTGCTGATTGCTTACCGCGTGTCAATCACTATGGCTTTGCCTAATTTAACAGCCCGAATATTCCAGTAGGTGAGGTAGGATCCATTCTCATTTCAGAATGAGGAAACAGAGACTTAGCAAGGTTACACAACATGCCTGAATTCAACCAGCTTATGAGTGGCAAAAGTTGTATTAAAATGAGCTTTGTCAAATTGTAGAGCCTGATCTTCTAATCATTACACTCTAGTCCCTCTGAGAACAGATGATGCTAATTAATACTTATACTGTCCTTCAGGGTTTATAAATCCTAAAACCCCCCATCTTCTTTAATCCTCATAAAATTTGGCAAGATGTCATGGTAAAAACTGTTTCCTCCCCCCACCCACACACACACACGAGATGAAAACACTGAGGCCACGTGAAGTTAAGGGGACTGGTCTTGGGTCTTCTAGTTGGCAAGTGTAGAACTAGGACTTCTCAGCCCTAGGACATTGCATTTTCTCTTGTACCACAGTAGCAGATCATAGCTGGCCAAGTGGGGCATCATGGAAATGTATCATGAAGCCTCTGTCCAAGTCAATGCACAGAAGGGAATAGAAGAATCGCCAGCCAGCCCCTGGCAAAGATAAGAAAGGAATGGTAGTCATTCCCTGAGGTCCTACCAGCAGTATAATACTCGATGTTCCCTCTACTAACCAGTGAGTCCCATGTGAATTGGAATAGGTATTGAGATCCTAGTCATTCCTCTCAGTGTGAGAGGGAACAATGAGAGTGAAAAGCACAGATGAAGACTGTTCTTTCTAGTAACCTGCGAGTCTTTACTTCTTTGGTTCCTTGTTCTTTTGTCTATACATGGACCAGAAGATCTCTAAGCTCTGACATCTGCTGAACCCACTGGCCCTGGACAGTCAGTTGAAAGGAAGGAATCAGGATGCCTCTGTTATACCTTCTTCCCAGCAACCTCAGTTCTGGGTGCCAGGGCCAGCCTTGTTGGTTTCCCACCACCAAATTCCACACCATCCTTCAAGGTGTCTATCCAAACAAATTCTCATCACACTTTTTTTTGACAAACTTTGCCTTGTGTTCTGATGAACCCGTATCACACATCAAAGTATATTTTCAAAAATAAAATATAAATAATTGCATTATATTTAATCCTGAATGGACATAAATTTTTATATAAAGAGAAAAGTCTTATATTTATAAGTAAATTTTATAGATGCTGGACTTCTCATCCCTAATCATAAAATAAATAAAAAATATAAAAACAGAGGAAAGAGGGGTCTGTATCAACAACAACACAGCTTCTTGAATCATTCAAATGCTGGCTTGTTTAGAAGGTTTTGATTAATTTGTAATGAAAGAAAATATATTTACAATTACTCCACACTGATTTCTTAAAACATCTGGGATCCATTCTTTCACACTTTCCCCCTGTATGTCTATATTTATTGCCCATCCAAAGTCTGTATACATATATTTGTACACACACACACATACATTTTGACATGCATGCTGTAGGGAATAAAATGCTAAACTATAAATGAGAAAGCATTAATCAAAAGCCATAAAGGTAAGAGTTGATTATTAGCCTCTTCTCTATTCTATTTATATGACCTTGGGCAAGACTTTTAACATTGCTGGTCCTCAGTTTCCATGCCTATAAAATGAAAAAAATAAATCTATCACCTGCATTTACTTCACAGAAATTTTGTAATGATGAAAAGGAATCATTTATATTAAATAGCTTTGAAAACTATATGGCATTATACACTTGAGGCATTCTTATTATGATTATATTTATTTCCCTTTTAACTTTCCCCCAGCCCTCCGTCTCTCTTTTAACTATTTTCATGTCATGGGCATTTATGACTAATTAGCTTGATGATTGCATAAATCTTTTTATTGTTACTATTTATTTTCTCTATTACTATTACATCGTTCCTTCAAAAGTTGGGCATGCCGAGTACCAATTTTTAGTCAGAAGATCCAGGTTATAATATTGTGTTTATTTACTAATGATTAAGAAGTTTCAAGAAGACGCTGGGTGGTGTAAACAGTAAAGAGCTCAGCTGTTAACCGAAAGGTTGGAGGTTTGAGTCCACCCAGAGACACCCTAGAAGAAAGGCTTAGTGGTCTACTTCGGAAAAATAACCCATCGAAAACCCTATGGAGTACAGTTCTACTGTCACAGACACAGGGTCACCATGAGTCAGAATCAACTTGACAGCAACTGATTTAAAAAAATTCAATCTTTCTTTCTATTCTTTTATGAATTTTTATTAAGAAAATATCAGTCAATGTTTTAATCTGAATGTTTTTATAAGTTACCCCATACTATTACATTCCCAGCATCTGGTAGTAAAGTTGTTCACACACACACACACACACACACACTTTTTTTTTTTGCTTTAATAAAGTTGAAATAAACATATTTTACCTTATTATGTAAATGTTGCCTTGAACAGTGTAAACAGGAGGGCTGACAGGAAGAGCCACTACAAAGGAGAAAACATGAATGGATTCAAATATATAAGTGAAATTTCATACAGGGGTAACTGCCAAATTTCAATGTTTACATACTAGATTGGGAAAAAGAATAGTTAAGAATGATAAAGAAAAAAAGAGTACTTTCAGCGTTATACTAAGAGCACATTCAAATCTATAAATAAAAATATCGAGACACCAATAGATAAATGACCAGAGTATCCACTAACTTTTCCTTAAATGTTGATTACCCTCTCTTCTTTCTATATACTCTCAGCCACCATGATTTCAACCACCACCCATAGGTTGATAGCTCACAAATCTTTGTTTTCATCTCAGATTTCTATCCTGAGTGTTAGACTCATATATCCAATTCCTTACTGATCAATTCCATTTTGATGTTCCACGTCCTCTTGAAAGACAAGAGTTTAAAACTAAGATTTCTATCTTAAATTATCCAAGCCCATCTCCTCCTCCTATACTCCCTATCACAGTAAATGGAACCACCATCTGCCCGGACAATCAGCTGAATACTTGAGCTTCATTTTTGGTTCCTCCCTCTATCCCCATTCCTCTCTACCCCTTATCACACCACTCATAAATCTTGTTCATTTAATAATGGTAACTTCAGTGAAGGGTAAGACAGTACACAATACTGGGGAACCCAGAACAACTTGTACAAAGCAAGGTCATGTAAATTCCATAGACACATCCAAGCTCCCTAAGGGACTAAACTGGGCTGAGGGCTGTGGGGACCATGGTTTTAGGGGACATCTAGCTCAACTGGCATAACATAGTTTATAAAGAAAATGTTCTACATTCTACTTTGGTGAGTAGTGTCTGGGGTTGTAAAAGCTTGTGAGAGGCCATCTAAGATAGTCCACTTGTCTCACCCTGTTGGGAGCAAGGGAGAATGAAGAAAAGTAAAGACACAAGCGAAAGATTAGTCCAAAGGACTAATGGATCACAACTACCACAGCCTCCACTAGACTGAGTCCAGTACAACTAGATGGTGCCTGGCTACCACCACCAACTGCTCTGACAGGGATCACAATAGAGGATCCCGGACAGAGCTGGAGAAAAATGCAGAACAAAATTCTAACTCACAGAAAAATACCAGACTTACTGGCCTGGCAGAGACTGGAGAAACCCCAAGTATGGTCCATAGACGCTCTTTTAGCTCAGTAATGAAGTCACTCCTGAGGTTCACCCCTCAGCCAAAGATTAGACAGGCCCATAAAACAAAACGAGACTAAAGGGGCACACCAGCCCAAGGGCAAGGACTAGAAGACAGGAGGGGACAGGAAAGCTGGTGACTGGGGACCGAAAGTAGAGAAGGGAGAGTGATGACATGTCATGAGATTGCTAACAAATGTCACAAAACAATATGTGTACTAACTGTTTAATGAGAAGCTAGTTTGTTCTGTAAACTTTCATCTAAAATACAATAAAAAAAAGAATTAAAAAAAATTGTTCATTTACCTTCCTTAATAGTTCTAACACATGGCCTCTCTTCTCCATATTAACTCGACCACTACCTTAATTCACATCTTCATCACATTTCACCTCAGTTATTGCAGGGCACCCATTTCATCTTCCTCTCTCTAGTTTTAAATGCCTCCAATCTGCACTGTACCCAGAGAGCTCTTTGAAAATTGCAGATCTAATCCTGATATTGTCCTGCTTAAAACTCCTTTTGCTGATAGGATAACATTCCAACTCCTTTGCAAGACTGATGAAACCTTTTATAATCTGGTGTTCCAGCTGTATCTTTCACCATGCCTTATTCCAACCCACCCTCTAAATTGTGGTATCTACAGATCTACAGACATATCTTTCTCGAATATGTCTTCATGAATCTGCACGCGATGTCCCTTCTGCCCAAAACACCTCCTCATTTCCCTATTTCTTCATCTCACTAATAATTTTCAGTTTTACAAACAGAGTTCAGATATCACATCCCCTGGAAAGCCTTCCTTGACAGAAGCACTCCTGTCTTGTGTTCTCAGAACATTCAGGATACACCTCTTTATTGGCAATTGTCACACTCTATTATGATGTTGTGATTGTTTCTTCAGGTGTGTCTATCTAAAGACTTTGAGTTCCTGGAAGGAAGATACTATGCCTGTTATCTCCATATCCCTGGTACCAAGAACAGAACCTGGCAAATAGTAGCTGCTTAATGAATACTTTCATGGATGAATGAAAAGATGAAAAAATGTTCAACTTAGCTATTAATAAAAGAAATGCAAATAAAAATCGTCTTGGTATGCCATTATATTAATTATCTATTGCTGGATAATAAATTACAGCATAACTTGTGGATTTAAAACAACACGTATTTATTATCTCACAGTTCCTGTAGGACAGGAATCTGGGCATGACTTAACTGTGACCTTTGCTTAGGGTTTCTCACAAGATTGGAATCAAGATGTTGGTCAGAGCTACAGTTATATTAAGGTCCAGCTTGGGTCCAAGCTCAGTCAGTAGTTTTGGCAAAATTCAGTTCGCCATCAACTATTGGACTGAGGGCTTCAGTTCCTTGTTGGATGTTGGTCACAGAACACGCTCAGTTCCTTGCCACATGAGATGTGATGAAGACTCTCCAACGTGGCAGCTTGCTTCATCAAAGTTAGCAAGAGATAAAATCTGCAGGCAAGAAGAAGTCACAATCTTTTGTGACCTAATCACAAAAGTGACATTCCTTCACTTTTGTTCTATTTTACTCATTAGAAGTAAGCCACTCTGTCCTGAAGGGTGTTACACAATAGTGTGAATACCGTGAGGCAGGAATCATTGGGGGCCATCTCAGAAGTCTTCCTACCACGGCCATCTTAAACTTACTAAATTAGCTGTCATACATGTTGTTGTTAGTTGCTATCAAGTCAGCTCCAATTCATGACAACCTTATGTATAACATAAGGAAACATTGCCCAGTCCTGCGCCATCACCATGATCTTTGCTATGTTTGAGTCCATTGTTGTGGCTATCGTGTCAATCGATCTCATTGAGGATTTTTCTCATTTTTGCTGACCTTCTACTTTACCAACTATGATGTCCTTTTCTAGGATTGGTTTTCCCTGGTGTCCAAAGTAAGTGAGTCTAAGTCTTGCCATCCTAGCTTCTAAGGAGCATTCTGGCTTTATTTCTCCGAAGCTTGATTTGTTTGTTCTTCTAGAAGTCCGTGGTATATTTAACATTCTTCACCAACACCATAGTTTGAATGCATCAATTCTTCTTCTGTTTTCCTTTTTCATTGTCCAGCTTTCCCATGCATATGAAGGGATTGAAAAGACCATAGATTCACTCAGATGCATCTTAATTATCAAAGTGACATCCTGCCTTTTTAAAACTTTAGTAGTCCCCTAATTATGATGTATTCAACTTACGATGAACAACCCTTAAATGCTCTTTTTTCTGCACATTTTATTGTAATAAGTACTACATACAATGTTGTAGCACATAATTTGCTGATGTTATCTGTATCAGATGTTCACTCACAGATGTTCAAAGATCGGATTTATAAAGATATTGATAATAAAAGGCAATAATAATGAAACTAAAAATTAAACAAAAGAGGTATTCAACTTACATTTACTTACAGTGAAGTCGTTGGAATGGAACCCGTCATAAGTCAAGGACTACCTGTATAATATCCTTTGCTGACTATACTTATATACATTCAAAAGGTAAAATGTTTAATGCCATCAAAATTAAAATAATTTTATTTATACTGTGGGGGCAGCTGTATGACTTTGGGAAAGTCAGTTCATCTCTCTGAACCTCAGTTTGTTATCATTAAAATGAGGCTAATAATATTCTCTTTATATGCTTTATAGGTTACTGTGGGGAACAATTATAACAATGGTATGAATGGAATTGATAAACTGTGGAAAGTGATACAGAACTGGGGGAATTTGTTTTCATGAGTTGGTTGGTCCTGATGGTGTTTGCAGGTAGACTTAAGCCTGGGATCAGAGCCAGCATTAGCAGCCCATGAATCATCAATCAAACCCTTAGTCATAAACTGAAAGGCAAGTCTGAGCTATTCTTTGATTTGCTGTTGTTTTATGCCCTTTATAGCCACACCTACCTATATAAAAACCAAGAATTTGTAAGAAATTCATTTGAAATGCTTGTTCCATTGGGTATAGCAACCTCAGGTACTACCTTTTCATGATAAGCCCAGGCTGGTTTTGTTAACAGCTTGCAAATGGTTCCAAACTTCCCCTTACATAACCCCAGTGAGTCCTAATTCAGCCTTAAACTTTAATGAAGACAAAAACCTTGCACATCAGGGCAAAGAGCCGCCCTGGTTATTACCGACCTCCAATCAGCACAGCTTGGGCTTCCAAGGCTACACAAAAGATACCAGTGTTTCATCAGTTTAACGACCAAGGAAAGGCATACACATCTCACCCTAGGCTCATTACCATAACCCAGTTTAAGAGCACAGAGACCACAAAACTCCTGCTGTGTGTGCTGCAGCAGGTACTGCAGTAATTCGTGGCTCCTGCATCACTGCAGGGCTAAGAAAATGTTAAAATGCACAGGGCCTTGGGCAGCCTCTAGGGGAACTGCTGGAATGTTGTTTATCTTCAGACCACAACAACTGGTCCAGTGTTTCACAACAGAAGGTCTGTCCTGGAGCTCAGACATAGAAGGTTTAGAGAAGCGAGGCCTGAAATAACCTCCCTTCTCTTCTACTTTCTGTCTCCCCACCCTCCTGGACCCCTCTCCTATGCAAGAGTTCACATTAAAAAAAAAAAAAAAGACACAGCCGGGGCTGTGACCTTGAAATAGATCCCACTTTCCTAGTCACTTGCCCGTAACTCAATACTCTAGCTGAGATGGGAGACAGCCTGGTCTGACAGGACTTTAGAAGACTGAAAACCAGAAATGATGTCGCCTTTTGTTGTCTTAACCCCTTGGTTCAAAAAAATAGGTGTTGTTAGATGCTGTTGAGTAAGCCCCCAACTCATGGTAACCCAGTATGTTACAGACTATAACTGCCCTGTAGGGTTTTCTTGGCTGAAATCTTTAGGGAAGTAGTTCCCCAGCCCTTTTCTTCTATGGATCCCCTGGCAGGCTTTGAACCACCAACCTTTGGTTTAGCAATCCATCACAAACTGCTTGTGCCACATAGGCTCATTTGATAAAATCTACCCTTTCGTATACAACATCTGTGTTCTCAAAAATTCAGATATGTTCTCTCTGGTATCTTGTATGAGAAAAAAGAGAAACTGGCACAATTATTAATCCAATCTGGAAATAATAGGCAATTGGTCACTTCATTTTAGCTCCACGTGATTTAGGGGATTCAGTTTTAAAAGGTCCTCATAAATAGCTCTGTGACCTTGGATGGTTCAATTAGCCTCTCTAAGACTATGCAGACATTCAGAGGGGAGATGACAAGAGTCTATATTCAAGGCCAAAAAATGAGGAGTGATGCGTGAGCCTTGAACTAAGGCTCATTCAAGCTCCAGAGATCTATGAATCTTCTTGGTAGAGAGTACATAACTGGGAAGAACCTCTGTTTGATTCTTTAATGAGGTGGGAGCAGATTGCTGTTGAGAAAGGACCACAAAGATGTCTCTGAGATATTTAGGAGTTACACCACAGAAACACTGGTTGGTGGTAGTCTTAGGCTGGGTTCTACAGAGAAGAAAAATTGGTGAAGTGTATATATAAATATAAATAAATAAATAAATAAATATGTATATATATATGTGT